GAGTGCAAGTGCAGGCGAACGATGCAAGGCAAGGCTTCAGAGGCGACGAGAATTTCAATTTGTTTCGTCAGCCAACCTGCAGCAATAACGAGTGTGCTACTAACGAGTATGAGAGAGCCACTGGCCTTCAGGTTTACAGTGCAGGGGCAGTGGGAAGCGGAAGGGCGTTTGATGGTGTAAGAGGCTCCCAGCATTGGGAGTCGGGCGATAGAGTAGCAAGCAGGGGAATTGATCTGGGGAAGAGTGTTGGCTTAGGCTTTGAAACGCCTCAGAATGATGCTTCAAGGTGGAGTTATGGGAAGGGGAGGGAGGAGAAAGAGGAGAAGGGGGAGGCGGAGAGAGAGCGAAGGGAGGAGGGGAGGATGGATGGGGGCCGAGGGGGAGGTGTGAATGGGCAGTTGGAGGGGCGGTTATGGGGTAGGGACCAGGAATTTGAAAGGGGGAATGGGGGAGTAAGAGATTGGTGTGGGGAGAGTGGGAGAGAGAGAGAAGGGCGACAGAAGATTGATCTGAATGAGGGAGGTGAGGAGGGATTGTGGAGGGTACAGGAGACAAAGCATGGATTACTGAGGGGTGAAGGTTTGCCACAACAGGGTTTAAAGGAGGGGGTTTTGCTGCGACGGGATTGGTTGAAAGAGCACGGGCAGCCAGGGCAGAGAAAGGATTTGCCTGACAGGCAGAGTGAGGATGTTTCCTGGAAGAAGCAGGTGGAGGTGCTGCAGCAACAGCTGATGGCGTATGAGCAACGGCACCAGATGATGATGCAACAGCAGCAACAGCAGCAACAACAGCAGCAACAGCAGCAACAGCAGCAGCAACAGCAGCAACAGCAGCAGCAACAGCATCACCAGATGCAGCAGGAACGAGAGAAACAGCACCCGCAGGAGCAGCAACAACAGCAGCACCGAGAGGAGCAGCACCAGCTCCATCAGCAACAGCAGCATCAGCAGGAGCAGCATCAACATCAGCAGGAGCAGCTCGAGCAAAAGAAGCAGAATGGTTTGGAATACGTTCGTGCGGCGGGAGACAAAGTGATGCAAGGCAGAGCTTCCTCGCCTTGCTGCTTTCTTCGATTATGATGACGGCTAGATTGACTACATCTGGGTATGTTGCCTTGCCTGTATGTGTGCTGTAGGGATGGATGTAGCCGTCGTTGACTGGCGTATAGGTTGCCGTAATGTTTACCTTATTATTATGTATGCTTTATCTGCAAGTAAAATAATAGAGTTTTGGTGTTTGCTACCAATGCATTTTATTATTTCCATCTTCAATAGATCTCTTTAGGATACCGTATATGGTGTCACCAGCAAAAGTAAATATTTTTTACAGGGATACGAGACAGAAAAAGCTTACACATTGGTCCTTCTCCGACCTACGTCACACTCCACTGAGCACTTCACACCCAAATATCGGACGAGCAGTCACCACCAGGATACCTAGTCTCGTGTGCCAACGCGGGCCCCTCGGGAAAATCCCCAAAATCCACAAAGAAATCCTTGTCGAGCGTGAGACCCCCGTTTTCGGTGTCCACGTGTACGAGCAGCAGATGCCCGCCCTTCTGGATAAGGTCGGGGTAGAACTGACGGTCCCACGACGAGAAGAGCGAATTCGTGACGTAGAGACGTTTTCCGTCAAGGCTTAGCTGGATCATTTGCGGCCCGCCCCTTAGCTCCTTACCCTGCGACGTGGAAGGAATGGAATAGATGTCGGTTTGACGAGAAAATTAGGCTAACGTATGGACGGATGGGCACACGCGGAGGGAACTATTGACGAAGGAACCAGAGAGGAATCAGGACTTAATCTAACGAGTCGCACACGGAACCGCCGGACGGATCGCGTCAACAATCTTTGCTGCTATAAACTAGACTTACCTTGACAGTGGGCACTTCAGGCGGCGGGTTGCCGTTTTTCTCCGTGACGGCACCTCCCTCGCGTATCACCCCCCCCAGAAACACCTGCCCCACGAGCTTCGGATTGGCCGGGACGGAAATGTCGTACTGTCGCAGATCGCCTTGCAGCCAGTTGGAGAAATAGAGGAAGCGGTCGTCGAGCGAGATGAGAATGTCGGATATGAGCCCCGGGAGTTGCGGGAGAGCCCAGCCATCCACGTCCTTGGGTTCCACGCGGATGACCACCTGGCGGCGAGGGAGGTATAAGGGTAAAAATCCAGCACAATTGGGGTAATAGGGTAAGAATCCAGTGAGGAAGAGTTGGTTAGTCTTATCTAGCTGTATGTAGATGTGGCATGCAAAGGCGATGAAGCGGGAGCGATCGTGAGGAACATTGAGAATGTCAGATAAGAGCCCCGGCAGTTGTGGGAGAGCCCTGCCGTCCACCTCCTGAGCGTATCACGTCAACACGTCGACCCCCATTCCCACCTACCCGGGTTCACTTACATCAGTGCTCCATTTTCCCGCGTCATCCTTGCTGATTCGAATGATGTTGCTGCTGAGCGCAGCGCCGACGAATCCCACCGCCTTATCCGGATCGTGCACAAATCGAATCTCCAGGGGAATTAGCCCCTCGATCCCCAAATCGACGGTTTGAGTCAGCTCATGCGTCGTCCAGTCCCAGAAGTACAAGTGCCGCCCGTAATCCTCCGCCACGTGTCCCGGGTCGAATCCCTTGGTGAACCGCTTCGGCGCGCCCCAGGCGCTACTAACGAGTACGTTATGCCGCGGCTGGTACCAGTAGTCATAATGGAACGGAAGCTTCGCCCCGCCTTCCTTCTGCCACCGGCCCTTGATCTCGAAATCCTCACTCAGTAACAAGAACCCCGTGTCGCCAGCGTTACCCTCCGGGTCGCCCAAAGCGGAGATTAAGATTTCTCCAGAGCCCAAGCAGTGCGTCGTATGAAGGTACGCCAGCCCGGTTTTCGCGGCGATATCTTCGGCCTGCACGACCTTGTGGAGGGACGGCGCGCGCGGATCAGTCGCGACATCCACGGCGTAGACGCGGCTCGACCTGGAGTAGCGTGTGGACCATTGAGGCAAAAGATGAAGTGTGAGCTTTGTCTAGAATCTGGTGCTTCAGACGTTTTTAGTGGCGAAATGGTTGAACTGAGCTTCACAATTTTATAGAGATGCGTGACGTACTGTAGAGCCGGCAGGACGAGGTATTTGCGCGACTTAGTGGGATCGTTGACGCACGAGCTACATGCGTTCCATCCTGCGACGCACAACGCGAAAGAACAAAGAAGCTTTTATAACTACACGTGAATTGCAAAGCAGCACCGAATTCGATACCGAAATCATTAGATGCCGGTGGCCAAGACTTACTTGGACCATGTAATTCGTTCACTAAAGAGGAAAATATCCGCAGCATACCTGAGTGATGGAGCTCGTCATTAAGGTGCGGCATGAACAGCCGGTGGATTACTTGACCGAAACTTCCCGATTCTGGATCCACGTCAATTGTTGCCAGGAAATCCGGCTTTTCGATGCCTGTCCCAGTGTAGATACCCGTCGTGTACAGCAGCTTCTCGCGCGGTCCCTCCATGGCTTTTAGCGGGGATACGTATCCGGGGCCCTTGCCGCAGCAAGAGCCCGCTGCCACATCAGCGCCGGACTTACCGCCACCCATAGTTGTCTGCGTTTGGAAGGGGAACTGAGCAGCAGCGCCTCCAATTACGGGCCTAAGACCGACGCTAGAGGGGCAGACTATGAGATACGAGATAAATCTTGACTGCAGGATAGAGTGGTCACAAGAACGAAGGCAGACAACTAGATGAACATTGAACTCATGGATTTGCATCACAACCTCTTCCGAACACAACGGTTTGAAGTTGAATGCCTTCTTGGTGACGGAGGCGTCGGGTTCGGGGAGGGCGAACTGGGGAGTGGAGGAGGGGGCGAAATTGAAAATTGGAAGTGGGGAGTTGCGCTGGGGCGAACAAATCCAGCCCAATGCATGACTTGCGCATTCACAATCCAATTCCTTATCCTCGCCAATCAAAGGCTGGTACACCTTGATTCTCGATGTTTGAACAATCGGGAGCCCCGGCTACAGTGCGCACGTGTGCTTGGATTCAGCGGGCTGGTGCTTACATAGGAGAACGGTAGACAACGGTTTATAAGTATAAACGTGCTTTTGAGTTTGGTTTCGTGCGGCAAAAGTGCTTATACGGTATGTTCTGGGACCAATTTGTACGCATTGATGTCAGTACAACCGGCTTGTCAATATGGCGAATGTCAGTGTGGCGCGAAACAGGGTGTACACCCAATGTGCTTCCGAACTTGTGCACGCGTGCGGTTCGTCCATGTGCGTCGGAATGGTGCGATTGGTGCGATTCAGCGAACCTGCAGCATTTCAGATTCTGCGTGTAAATTCGTCAAAGAACATTGCGGGACAACCACTGACATCCGTATTACACCTTAGTGAGCATACTTATATCAAGAACGCGGAGCACCCCAGTCCCGCCCGACACGTTCGAGGCTCCACCTGGCGAACTTCGTCCACGACGAACAGTGCAGAAAGCCCTAAAAGGGATACATTACTGTACCCACAACATACTTCCACAACATACTTGCACAAAAGCACTACAAAACGAAATTCATCCGCCAAACTTTCCGCAGTCCCGTTATCTCGTTTTCGAGTCATCTCGTTCTAGTTTTCGTAATCCACCAGCCTTGGCGTTGTTCCACGCAGAAGGCGAGGGCGGTGCGGCCTGAGCAGCTTTGCTGGCTAGTGAGCGGGAGGAAGTAGGAAAAGAAGGTTACGTCTCATTGTCGCGCTTCGTGCTTTATGTTCCCATGAAGTCGCCGGTGGAGTGGGAATTGCGTTGGTAGCTCTCTCTTTATTGCAAAAGCTGGGGTTTATGACCTTCAAGTTCACCTTATAGAGGTTCGAACAGACTGTTAAGCTCGTGCGCAGGGGCAACTGAACGTATAACTGCGAGGCTAAAAATATTTGCTCTTACTGTCCTTTCTGCGACAATCTATATATTCTCTTTCGCGTGTACATTTGCGTCGGTCCCAGTCTTATTGGTACAATGCAGCCGCATGGGAACTGTCGTCCACCAGGCGACAGTTTCGCCGCATTCCCTGCATTCTCATGGCTGGATGATCCGTCTCAATCTGGAGCCTCCACGCATCTATTCCGGCAGCAGCAACGGCAGCAGCAGGAGCAGCAGCAAATACAGCAGCATAGTCAACAGCAATATTTTCCGCAGCAGCAGCAACGGCAACAGCAACAGGAAGCGCGACCTCCTCTGCCGCAACCCCAGGCTGTCCCATACCCACTGGACACATTTCAACCTCGCAACCCTAACTTTCCGCGGCCCGAGTCGACAGCACCTGCAGAGCCAGCGGCGCCGGCGGCGGCAGGTTTGGAGGAGTGGTTGATGCACCAGGAGGTTCGCCGCGCCGGTCCCTCTACTGAGCAATTAGCGCTTTTGGAGCTTCTGGCACAGCAACAGCTGCAGCAGCCGCCGCAGCAGCAGCAGCAGCAGCAGCAGCAGCAGCAGCAGCAGCAGCAGCAGCAGCAGCAGCAGCAGCAGCAGCAGCAGCAGCAGCAGCAGCAGCAGCAGCAGCAGCAGCAGCAGCAGCAGCAGCAGCAGCAGCAGCAGCAGCAGCAGCAGCAACAACAACAACAGCAGATTCCCCCGGGAGTGCTTCTGGCGCTTCTTCAGCAGACCCTTCTAGGCGCCTCCAGACCTCGTGGGCCCGTCAACCAGGGCCCCATAAATCAGGGCCCCTTAAATCAGGGCCCCATAAATCAGGGCCCCATCAGTCAGGGCCCCATCAGTCAGGGCCCCATCAGTCAGGGCCCCATCAGTCAGGGCCCCATCAGTCAGGGCCCCATCAGTCAGGGCCCCATCAGTCAGGGCCCCATCAGTCAGGGCCCCATCAGTCAGGGCCCCATAGATCAAGGCCCCATCAGTCAGGGGCAGCTTGGGGTTGCGGCTGGATCGACTCAAAAGTCATTTGGTTACAGGCATGCTGCTGCTGCTGCTACTCCAGCAATGGACGGTGCTTTGGGGCGCGGGCCCCAGGAGACGGCCACCAGTGCGGACAGCAGCAATGCTGCTGCCACTCGCCTCACGCCACGTGCTGGAGCAAGTTCTGCTTCTGCTCCTGCTGGTACCGTACTTGCTGCTGCGGCAGCGACTGTTGGTGGTGCTACGGCATCTGCTGCTGCTGCTGCTGCTGCTGCTGCTGCTGCTGCTGCTGCTGCTGCTGCTGCTGCTGCGTTGGTCGCCCCAGCAGCGGTTGGAGAGAACAGGTTCAGATCGGGCAACGAGGAAGGAAAGAGGGGAGAAGAAGAACGGGGGATGAGGGGAGAGGGGCGAGAGGGGGGCGCCAATGTGAGGGGAATTGGCCCTCACGGGGAGAGAACAAGAGTGAGGGAGAGTGTGAGTGTGAGGGAGGCAGATACAGTGCAGGCAGAATGCAAGCTGTTAACAAATATCGTTGAGGTGTCTCAGCACCCATTTCAGCCCCTGCCTAAAGCCCTTCCTGGAGCCCTGCTTGAAGAACAGAATCAAACCCTGCATGAATCTCTGCCTGAAACCCTCCTGGAAAGCTTGTCCCAAGCCGTGCCCCAACCCCTGCCTGAAGGCTTGCCTGAATCCGTACCTGAAGGCCTACCCGAAGGTTTGGCTACAGGTTTGCCCGAGCATGTCCAGGTGGAGTGGCGGCCGCGCACACGAACCCGATGCGACGCCGGCGCCATCGCGAGGGGGGTGATCAAACCGCGGAGCATGAAGGAGAGGCGGCGGCGAGACAAGATCAGGTGAGCTTGAATTGCGCAGGACAAACCACTTTCTTGCTTCTCCCACCCCCCTCCCCCCCCGTCACCCTTCTCTCCCCCCTCGCCTCTCCCCTCCCTGTTCTTCCTTCTTCTGCCCCGCGTGCTCCTTCTACCCCGCGTGCTTCTTCTGCCCTGCGTGCTCCACGAGCAATGGGCTGGGCCACCTGAGGCAAGCCACCTCCATCCTTTTCCCCTCGCCTTCTCCCTCCTCCCTTTCCGCCGCGTTTCCCTATTTCCCCTCCCTTTTCCCCCACCCCGTTCCCCGCTGCTCGACCAGCAATGGGCTGAGCCAGCTGAGCCTAGTACTTCCTGCCGTGCGGATAGTGACACACATAGTGACTTTTGAGTCGACTCAAAAGTCACCTAGCAATGGGCTGGGCCAACTGAGCCGAGCATTTCCTGCCGTGCGGCTACTGGCACACATTCCATGGTTCCATCGCCCCTCCTCTCTCGCCCCTCCTTCCCCCCCTTCCTTCCCCGCCTTTCCTTCTCCTCGTGCCTTTTCTCCCCACCTTTTTCCAACCTCCGCCACCCCCGCCCCCTTCACGAGCAGCGATGGGTTGCGGCAGCTGAGGCAAGCACTCCCCGCCATGCTGCTTGGGCCACGGCAGGACATGGCGTCGATGATTGAAGCGGCCATCCACCATATTGGCAATCTCGAGGTAAGCTGCTGGGCTGGGTTTGGCTGGGCTGGGCTGGGCTGGGCTAGGTTCGGCTGGGCTGGGCTGGGCTGGGCTGGGTTCGGCTGGGCTGGGCTGGGCTGGGCTGGGCTGGGTTCGGCTGGGCTGGGCTGGGCTGGGCTGGGCTGGGCTGGGCTGGGCTGGGCTGGGCTGGGCTGGGCTGGGCTGGGCTGGGCTGGGCTGGGCTGGGCTGGGCTGGGCTGGGCTGGGCTGGGCTGGGCTGGGCTGGGCTGGGCTGGGCTGGGCTGGGCTGGGCTGGGCTGGGCTGGGCTGGGCTGGGCTGGGCTGGGCTGGGCTGGGCTGGGCTGGGCTGGGCTGGGCTGGGCTGGGCTGGGCTGGGCTGGGCTGGGCTGGGCTGGACTCGTCTTTGTGGCTTCTTCCGCTTACATTCTTTTGCGATCGTACATTGCAAACAAAAGTGATGGCTGTTTCTAGTTTTCCTGATTTTATTAGCCCATTTGGTGACAAACTTGTTTGTCTTCCCGCCACCTGATTGCCGTTTTCATGTTTCCCTTCCGTTGCACCATCTTCTCATGTGCCAGTCCCGTATCCAGGAAATAGAGGCGGATGAGGATGGGGATGGAGGGGAAAGGGGTTCCCAGAAGGAAACTGTGAGTGGATGTGAGATGCCAAGGAGCGGGCTTCGGGATGTGAAGGCGGAGGAAATGGAAGGGGAAATGGAAGAAGACACCGAAGGCAGCTCGGAAAATGAGGAAGATGCAGACAACAATGATGGCCACGATTCACGCATCAACATTCAAGTTAAAGAGTAAAACCTCAAGTCATGTCCAAGCGACTTTGCTGAAAGTAGGACGACAACAACAATAGAAGCTTTATCTCAATCTTCAACTAATAGTAAGTTCATCTAGAAATGTCGAGCTGCATTATAGGCGAGGCGTCCCTCCGCGCTTGACTCGGTTTTGGGAGAACTCAATCAACAAGAGAGAATGTTCCACCTGTGCCACTGCCCTACGTGAGAACTAATCAAATCCTGATCGCTAGCTTGCAGCTTCCTTGCAGCATAAGTGACTGCAGCGAGGGCGACAACAACGTTTACACGCGCGGAGGAGCTTTCAACTGTAGACTTGAACCGTCATCGTCACGCGCATGATCAATCCACCTGTTGATTGGCTGTTATTTGCTGGTTCAATCGAATCCGATTCTTGGACCAGGGGAATCAGATCTGTCAGATCAGCAAACTCTGTGGTTTGAATGGCGACTTCACTTTCCTCTTGTCGCAGAGCTGGAAGACGAAGGACTCTACAGACTGTTCCACCCAGGCACGAAAGATTAGCCAGTTAAAGAATCACTCGCCGAATCAAGTTACAAGATGCTGCCCGAAACTTCGAGAATTCGTTACGCGCCCGTACAAAAGCAACGATCAGAGGGGCATTCGTCGCCAGCAAGTTACTTCATAGCCTGGGTTTCGCCTTCGGGTTGAGCGGATCTACTGTTCTTGCAGCTATCTGCTTGTTTTTGGTGCAACATTTTCCCCCTTTGTCCGATCTTTCCTCCTGGCAGTTTCTGGATATATTTGACTCGATCCACACGACCCAGCCGTACGCCATCACGCGCAGTCGCCTCTCTACTGGCTCGTTTTTCACTCCACGCTTCGCCATTCCTGTCATTTTCTAATGCCCACTTGGAACAGCTTACTTTCCCTCACCGCCAGCAGCATTACAGCTGGAGTGCCCGATCGCCCGCGTATCGAAAATTATCCAGCTTTTTACCGAGTGAACCAGTCCTTGTACATTGAACTAGGGTCCACACGATCACCATACACTGAGAGGGTATCTCAGATGTCTGAGTCCACGTGGGTCCGGCTCGGACCTGACGGACCAGCTCAAGAACCAGCGCGTGAACCAGGGCGGACCGGGACCAGGATGCGGGCCTTGTAACCCCGTTATACCGTTCGAATGGCACTAAAACGGTGCCATTTAGTTGGCCCTCCAGACCAGTCCGCGCCTGGTCCGTAAACAGTGGGTGGTGAAACATTTATTTATTTTGGCGAAATTTCTTGTTCTGCAAGTTCCGCGTGAGATTTTTGTGCAGACGAAGAAATGGGTAACTCAATTTCAAATTCGTCGCTACTGCTGCATCTCGCAAATACTGTGCATCCCGAAGCGCGACGCATCTGGCAGACCAGTCCGTGTCTGGTCCAGCGCTGGTCCGCCAAGTGGGTCCGTCGGACCAGAACCCCGGACCAGGCGTATAGATTCTGGTCGCGGACCAGATCCAGCGGACCCTTCACATGAGACACGTCCTGAACCACCACGAGCCCCCGTCTCGCCTCGTTCCGTTTCATGCTGATCTACAAATAGCAAACCCGCTTTAGGCCAAACTACCCACCAGAACTTCCCTCCTGCCCTGTGTGACCCGTCACTCAGTTCTTGCCTTACCTGGCCCGATTCTCCCACCGACTTTGCCAAACTCCCAGGCTCCCAGTCTCCCTCCCGTTCACATTCCCGTTCTGTCCTTTTCCTTTCACCTCGTCTCAGTTCATTCCCTCCCTCAGATGTCCCAACCACACGAACATCAGCAGCAGCAGCCGCGGCATGAACAGCAGCCCGAACAGACTAGCGCTGACTTTTCGTTTCAGGAAGCCGCGAAATTGCTGCTCGACTCAGAACATCTCGATTACTCCCCCGCGTCGCTGCTGCTAGACGAAAGCTTTGCTTCATTCGCGCAAACTACTAGCTCCAAAAAGCACATCCCTTCGCCTGTCGCCTCTGCTTACAACTGCGGCCGAGCCGCGCTAGAAGAAGATATTCTCGAAGCACTGATAGAGGGGGGTTCCGCCGTAAACGGGTCTCTCGTCGCAATTTCCGGAGCGCCCGCTCCCGACGGCGACTCTTCGCTCGATATAAGCGCTTCGCGTGACGCGAAACATTCGGAATTTTATCATCGAGCCTCAATGGTTCCCGGCGATCTTGATCGCGACGAAATTCGGCATTTAACAGCCGCATCCGGCGCAGCGCCTCGAGGCGGCGGCCGCGAAGGGTGTGACTTCGTCAATGACCGCGCCGCGGCTGCACCCGCCGCCTTTGCCGCTCCGCAAGACGCGCGGCGGGAACAGACACAGCACGATGGCGCCGGGCTGGCGTCGCGAGTCGCCACCGAAACGGCGTCTGCGGCCGATGTCGAGCAATGGCTTCGCGCGCTGGAAGAGGTTAGCGGCGCGGCTGACGGCGACATTGCCGGCGCGGCGCTGGCGCCAGGCTTGCAGATTCCTTTCGATTTGCTCCAACAATCTGCGGACGCCGCGTTGTTCGCTCAGCTTCAGATGCTCTCCTCGCATCCATTCGACGCCGCGCCGGCACTTGACCTTCGCGACACGGTGGTAACCAGACCTGTAACCGGCGGCGGGAGTTCCCTCGCACATCCTGCGCGAAATCATTCCTTCGCGCAGAACGTTCCAATAGCGACCTCGGGCCCAATCGCGCGACACGGATTTTCCGCGATGTCGGGCGCGGAATCTCCGCGCTTATCGCCCACTGGGAGCGTATCAGGTCACAACCAACGGCGCTTCGCGACTCGGGGTCGTGACGGCGACGCGAGTCGCAACTATCAGGCTTCGACCCTCACCCGACCTGGGGACTTCGCAGTAACATCCGCATCTCAAGCGGAGTCGCGAGAGGCGTTCCCCGGCGGCGACTGTCTCTTAAGCGGCAGCGGCTCCACGTTCCCCCCAATCTCCCCGACCGGCGGAATCTCCCCGCGCCACCCGCCGACCCACAGTCACGGCGCGTCTACCAGCGCCGCCGCGGCGTCTCAGAAGGGGTCGCTGCTCGCCGCGCCCTCCGCCGCCGGGTCCGGCGCCCCACCGCCTTCTAAATGCGCCAGCAGCAAGCTCGCACTGGAAATGTTGCACAAGATGCGGCAAGGCGGGTTAGTGTTACCGGGGGTATCAGTACCCGGCCAGCCCTTACTCTCCGCCGCAGATGCTGCTATGCTCGCGAATGATGGCGCATTCGTGGGTTTCGACGGCTTGGAAGACGTCAACACAGATATGACGGCTTCTCGTGCTGCTCCTGCTTCAGCTTCTGCTCCTGCCCCTGCCCCAGCTCGTGTCAGTACTGCGTCTGCTGCTGCTGCTCCTGCTGCTGTTTCTGCTTCACTTTCCCGCGTTCCCCAGGCGCTGATAGGCATCCGGGGGCCGGACGCGTCGGGTGCACTGCTGATCGGGAGCCGGCCAAGCCAACCTGCCATGAGATCTCCACGCACAAGCCCGCTGAGCCAACCCGGTGTTAGGTCACCCCGCACAGGAGCAGGAGAGGCCGGAACCCCTGGAGATGCCAGAGGTACCGGGGATGGAAGCACGCAGGCGCTGGACTCACCTCGCATGGGCGCTTCAGGTGCAGGTGGGGCAGTGGCAGCAGCAGGAGGGGGAGGAGGAGGAGGGTCAGTACGGGCGGCAGGAGTGAAAGCCCAGGTGATGTCCGAAGGAAGAGGAGGCGCGGGGCCTGCCACGTCAGCGCCGTTGTCGGGAGGCGGGGCGGGTTTGTCGGGTGGATTGTCGGCGGAGGACGACTGGCGGCCGCGGAGTCGAACGCGGTTTGACGCCGAGGCGATGCGCAAGGGGGAGATCAAGCCACGGAGCATGAAGGAGAGACGGCGGCGAGACAAGATCAGGTGCGTTTGACAGTGGTTGGTGGGTGTGAGGTGGAAGGGAGTCAGGGAAGTGTAAGAGAATTTTTGGTGTTAGCTGGATTGTTGTAGGTGCGCGAACTTGTTGCATGTGGAGCTATTTAACATTGCCAAGCTCGACTCGTCCGTTTATGTCATCATGCTCTCCTGTGCCCCGTTTCCTGCCTGTTTCCTCCTATTCCTTCACAGTGAGGGGTTGAGGCAACTACGGCAAGCCATCCCAGAAAGTCTGTTGGGTGCACAACAAGACATGGGTGCTATGATCGAAGCAGCAGTCCTGCACATAAGCAATCTACAGGTACGCGCATCGCGTTATCATGGATGTTTTGTATGTCCCACATATGGTACTTTCTTAATTGCGGAAATGCTGATTTACTGTCTCGTGGTATTTTGTGCAGGCTCGAGTGAGCAAGCTTGAAAGAGGTGCAGCGATTGAAGAGATTGTAGACAGAATGCAGCCATGATTATGTAGGCTCTCTTGTGCTTCAAATGAATGTTGTTTTGTGCTACTTTGGTGTGAAGGTCGGTTTCCATGTGGTTCAGTATGTATGCTTAGAGCGTACACCTGTAGTCTATATCAATCGGTTATTGATGGACTGTACAAGCTACCGTATATTGTACGTGTTCAACCTAGTCGACAGCTCTCACGATTATTTGGCCATTTTCAACGGCATTCAACTGGGTTTCCGGGCTCTGGGCTAACCTCTGGTCAAACCTCTGGTTAACACTGTAGCCAACCTTGCAATTAGCACACTTGCTGAGAAATGGGCATGACTTCGGTTAAGGCCCAAGACCTGAATTACTCAACGGAAGTCAACGCAGAAAACTAGGTTCGGGAAGCAGGCACGGAGAGGTTCGGTTGGGTTGCGAGAGACTTTCACTCGCGGAACCAATTTGCGACAAAAGTTTCTCGCTTCCCATGATGGGTGGGGTCCTTCCCACAACCAGAAAAGCGCGTGCATACCAAACTGTGCACAGTTTGAGACAGCACGCAGGGTATTAGGCATACCGTAGAGCATATCTGTAGACAGGGCAGGGCGTCGGCGTTCACTCAAAAGGGATCAGATGCGCCTTAGAGCGTGTTCCTACGGGTCCCTATCAGGCCAGCCCCTTGTCAGACTCGCCTCAAACACCAGAATTTCGGATTAAACGCATTTTGTATGAGACGTTTTGATCGTTTGGGAAGTGTGCGACAAAATGCGTTGGGTGACGTGGCACTGCGCAACGATCCCGAAAGGTTGCAAGGAAGAAAAAATCCGAGTTCAGACAGATTCCAGGCGATCATGACGTGTGTTTGGCGGAAAAGTCTTTGTATGTTTCATACCCGACAAAACAGCATGTGTGAAGAATTTGTCAGAATATATCTGTAACTGTCTGTAGTTGTAGTTAGTGTAGTTATTATACCGTATCCCCCCGGATATACCCCCATGGGGGGCAGTAATAAAACAGGTTTTTTCATGGGGGTGGGCTTATAATCGAGTAAATTTATAAGCGCCAGCGTTTATAAAATGACATACACATTTTTTTATATCTTTTAACACCAAACTGTAGGTCTCGTGCTTGCCTTTTCAATCGAGTCGAAGTTACATGGGATCGTCTGTGAAATTCTCGCGCGCGCTGGGAGATACACCCAATCTGACTCACATCCAGCTCCTGACAGGTCCTGCTGACTGGACCCGCATCCAGTGCAGGGTCCGAATGTGAAGGGAACCGAATCTGCAACATATCCGCCTGCTAAAGTAAAAATCGTTACAGCTTTTTGAACACATTTCAAATTTTAAAGTTTACGTGCGCTTATAATAAAACAAGTTTTTTCAAGGGGTGCGCTTATAATCGAGGAGGGGATATAAGCGCCATATGCCAATTAGAAGCGCCAGGCGCTTATCCTAGGGTGGCGCTTATATCCGGGGGGAGACGGTAATCTTTGTTTGGTGGTGCACCTTCTTTGTTTCCTTTGCTATATGTTCTTGCAAGGTATAGTGAAGCCCTCTTTCTCCTCTCTCAACTTTCTCGACTTTCATCAACCCTAAACCTTGTTGGGCTGAAGTGCCCTTAGGATCTTTGTAGAGTTTAAGTCTGAGTAGGATTGTAATAGCGGAAGCGTTGAATAAGAAAGCCTTGAACCACCTTGCGCTGGTATGTGAGGGCAAAGTAAGTTGATTAAAACAGGCAAATACAAGGCTTTATATAAGAGTACAAGGAATACGAATAGATATAATAAAACTACCTTGCTGTTGCGATTCGATACAGTGCGACTCGGGCAACTGCTCAATGTCGAGTCAGTTGTGTGTCCTTGCTGTCGCGCTGTATTGGTCAAGTCAAAGGTCGCTGACCTTTGACCTTCGCGTAACCTCCAGGCGGTTACCCTAACCTCCGAGGGTTGACTCGCGATGCTTCGATTTGGACTGCTTCGCTTTGTGTCCTGAGTTTCGACACGACAGAGGCGCTTAAGACTTATTGTTCCCAACACTCCCCTTCGCTTCTGGAGTGTCGCTGATGGTGACGTGGCCTTGTCCAGTCAGCAGCATGCAGTACTCGAACTTCTGTTTTCCGAGCTTCTTGGTCAAGTAGTCGGCTGCCATCTCGGACGTGGGACAGTAGGATAATTCGAGTTTTCCTTTCTCGATCTCGTCTTTCACGAAGAAGTATCGCAGAGCGATATGCTTCGTTCTGTTCGCGAAGCCGCTTTTGTTGGCGATGCGAATTGCAGATTGGTTGTCGCAGAACAGGGTGAAGTTGGGTAACTCAGCTAACTTTGCTTCTTCCAGCAGCTCGCGAAGGTAGAGTCCTTCCTTGGTGGCTGAGCAGAGGGCGATATATTCTGCTTCAGCTGAAGAGAGAGCGATTAGTTCCTGCTTGCTCGACTGCCAGGAGATAGGTCCGATAGGCTCAAGACGATAGACGTAGCCAGTGCGAGAGCGCATGTTATCTGAATCGCCGGCATGGTCGGCATCGACGTAGCCGATTAGTTTCGTTGACGTAGCTTCACTCTTGTAGTAAGTCAGGCCGATCGTCGGCATGCTCACGAAATAGTGCAGTGCGCTATCGAGCTCCGCCAGGTGCTTTGCTTCGGGTTTCTTGAGGTAGGTAGCGAGTTGGCTTGCGGAGTAGGATAGATCCGGGCGACAGATGACGGCTGCGAAGAGGAGGCAGCCCAGTTTCCTCTGGTAGTCTTGTATTCCGGCAGCTTTGAGTGGAGCGGAATTTCCTTTGTCACTTCCTGCCGTGTAGCGGTATGGCGTGGCGATAGCGGTAGGTGTGAGCGAAAAACGCTTGGCGATCGTGTCGGCGTATTTCTCGGCGCTTAGATAGATCGCATTTTCTTCTTCGCGGATGTTGAGCCCGAGGTACTGCGTGACGGTAGAAGAGACCGTGAGCGTGAGGTCCTTCTGCAGCTCCCCTTCGAACCAGGTGGTGACGTCGTCGGTGGAGCCGATGTAGAGCAAGTCGTCGACATAGACGATCAGCAGGATGTAGTCTGCGTCTTTGGTGAGTCGGTACATCCCTTGGTCGTGAGGTAGTTGACGGAATCCGATGCGAGTGAGGCGGGTGTGTAGGTGCTGTTGCCACAGCCGCGGTGCTTGTTTGATTCCGTAGAGAGATTTCAGTAGCTGACAGACCTGATTGGGGTTTCCGTGGGTACTGTCAGAATGTTCTTATCTAGCCTGTAGTGGGGTGCTCTATAGCGAGTACAAACCTGTTAGGGTTTACTATTTGTATCCCCATTCTTGCTAGTCAAGCTCTCTTTCTTTCTTCTAATTTTGTCATGCTATCAGAGCAGGTCGATCCCCTTGGATCGATCCTGTGGGTGGGTTACCACCACCTCGTTGCTTCCGCTGCAACTTCTACTGCTACTCTCTGTGCCGCACGCCCCGTGGCGTGCGGCAGTTTTTCTGCCCGCCGTGCGCCCCGAGGCGCGCGGCGGTTCTCTGCCCGCTGTGCGCCCCGAGGCGCGCAGCGGGCTTCTGCCTCGTCGCTCGGCGCGTCGCCCTCGGGAGGCGCTGCGACGGGCGACGGGGACCCGCGCGCCGGCCCGTCGACGCCCGTGCGCCGCTGCCCCGGCTCGTCGACGCCCGTGCGCCGCTACCCCGGCCCGTCGCCGCCCGTGCGCCGCCCGTCCCGGCCCCGCGCAGCTGCTCCGGCCCGTCGCCGCCCGTGCGCCGCCAGCCCCGGCCCGTCGCCGCCCGTGCGCCGCCAGCCCCGGCCCGTCGCCGCCCGTGCACCGCTGTCTCGGCCCCACACCGCCCGTGCGCCGCCCGTCCCGGCCCTGGCCCCGCCTGCGGCCCCCCCCCCTTTTCCCGTCGCCCATCGCGGCTCCCTCGGGGGCCGCTTGCGGCCCCCGAGGGTCGCCTCGACCCTAAACCCGAGGACTTACCTGGGGGAGGGGGGCGAGCGCCGCCCCCCCCCTTCTGCTGCCTGTCTTGGCGCCCTAGGCGACCGCGCGTCAGTTCCCCCCCCCCCCCCCCCCCCCCCTCCCCCTCCCCCGTAACCTCCCTACCCGCCATCCCGCCCTGCCTGAGTTAGGGTTTGGGGAGTGGCGAGTAGGGGGTGGCGAGTATGGGGGTGGCGGGTGTGTGGTCTCCCCTGCTCCTCCTCCTCCTCTGTCTCCCACTGCTGCAGCTGCCGCTGAGGGGGGTGGGTGTGTGGGAGTCGCTGGAGTCGTGCTAGGGGGTGGGGTGTGAGTGACCCTAGGGGTGCAGTAGGGGGTGTGTGCAAGGGGGGGTGAGACTGTTTGGGGAGCTGAATGAAGGATGCCGCTGTGTCGCTAGCAGCACCTGTAGTCCGGGGGCTTCGTCCGGTAGCTCAGTCGTAGCCAGCTGTGCCAGCCGCCCGTGGGTCCGTTGCTCGTCTGCCGCTACTTTAGCCGCGGGGCCAGTTACCCCTGTAGTCCGGGGGCTTCGTCCGGTAGCCGCTGTGCCAGTCTGCCTCCTGTTGCCCGTGTGTCTGCAGCTTCATCCGTCGCCTCCTATCTCCTTTCCTCTCACTCTCGCCTCCTCCTCCTCACTTGCCCTCTGCGATAGCCTCTAGCTTTGCTCAAAATTTTTAACTTTAAATTATTGCTTCTTGAACTTGTGCTCAGAATGTGTGGTGACATTGTGATCCACCCTGAGCTTGTACTGCTTTGCTTGCTCTGCTGATTACACCTCACTTTGGCTATGGGGGTGTGTCAGAATGTTCTTATCTAGCCTGTAGTAGGGTGCCCTATAGCGAGTACAACCCTGTTAGGGTTTGCTATTTGTATCCCCATTCTTGCTAGTCAAGCTCTCTTTCTTTCTTCTAATTTTGTCAGGTACCGTGTGAGAGTTCGACGAAGATTTCGGCGTCGACGGGTGCGTAGAGGAATGCATTGGCGACATCGATTTGTCGCAGCTTCTTCTTCTTCATGGCGGCGACGGCGAGAAGGATTCAAAGAGAGGTATGTCGACTAACTGGGGCGAATGTCTCGGTGAAGTCTCGTCCTTGC